ATTTTTAGACATTTGTGAATTTATAGTTTTGTTTACATGCAAATTGGCAGCACTGGTAAAATGGCCACTCGGTGCATGTGGTCAATGGCTGCTGTCGCTGCGAGGTCTGTTAAGAGGTTAAAAGTTTAACAGCGTGCGTTTAACGCTCATTAAAACAATATGGCAATATTGGACAGTTGTTGTTGCTGCTGTTGCTGCTGCTGCCTTCAAGGTTATATTTGTTAAAGATTAACATTGGTTTTCAATTAAGCGACACGCGCTGGGCTGCTAGAACGAGACAGAACGAGCGAGAGAGAAACAGCCCGCTGCTTTCTTACAGTAACATTTGTGGGCAGTGACTGTCAAACTTTGACCTAGTGCGCTGCGAATTGTAATTTTGCGTTTTTTATAGTGTTATTTTGTTTATTTGTGGTTGCGCTTAAAGCTTAGCAAGCAATTTTCAAAAAATGCAGCGTGTTATCGTTAACAGACGCTTTAAAAATCTAAACAGTGTGTCATCGACGCAAGGTGGACTTTTTAACTAACTTTAATAAAATTCATTTGGTTTTAATTAACAGTTTCATTATAAAAAATGAACAGTTCACTTGGGATTAAACACCCTTGCAAACACATTTGAACTGCTCGCAAGTCATTCAGAATCTCTAAAAGCTGTTTATCGCATAAGCGTGCAGTATATTAATTCTGATTAAAAAAATATACATATATGCATATGTAGAGATAATCAATTCAATCAGTGCAATTAAAAAGCCATACAGTATACAGTTTGAGAGCGACAATATATTTTATAGAGATAAGATACAGTTTGAGTCGCACTGCTTAGACACATAACGTACAGTTTGGCAGCTATTATACGTGCAGTTTTAAGTGCATGCAATCGTTTCTTAGTGTTGGTTTGACAGCCACTGAGCTTTGCAGTTTACAACCGCTGATAACAGCAGCTGCGACAAAAAAAATACAGTTTTCTTTAACTCCCTTTTCTTTCATTCATTCGCACTTATCATTTTACTATTTTGTTTTGCGCAGCACTTCTTACACTCGATTTGATAATAACTATTTTTAGAGCTTTGCATTGCACTGCATCTAACATAAATCGCGCTGTCTCTCTCTCCCTCTCTCTCTCTCTCGCGCACATTGATTGATTGACTTTTAAGTGGGCAGCTTGTGTTTTAAAATGGGTTTCTTGGTTTCGTAAGCCGATCTATAAATACACTAATTATGCATATGAGAAATATATATACATTTATCACATTTAAATCTTAATATCTTTATTTTTGTTGTTATTGTTATATGAAAACTTGTTTTCGCTCAATTGAAATACATTATTTCACAGCGTTTTGTCATGCTAATTAAAATGTCGCTACACATTTTTTACATACAGCGAAAATAAATTCGCCGCCTGCAGGTGCGGCGAATAACTGAATGCTAAGCAGCAGCAGCAGCCGACGAAGAGACAATACAGATATTTAAAAAAAAAAAGGCACAAAAGATTATTTAAAAAAAAATTATGAATCTAATCATAAATAAATCAATTAAAACACGAACCAAGCGACGCGACGCGACGTCAGCAACAGCAGCAGCAAAGCGCCTTGTTGTTGTTTCTGTTGCTGCTGCTGTTGTTTTTACCGTTTGATAACCTAGAAAAGCGACTATAGTGTGAGTTTTGTTTTTCCATGTGGGCGCACGCTTTGGGTGTTAAGTGTTGCGACTGGACTAACTAATATTGATAAGAGTTGCGCGTGTGTGTGTGTGTGTGTATGTTTGCATGATGTTAAGCTGCGCTTGCCGGCAACAGCAGCGACATATTGACAGCTGTGCAAACAGCTTGACAGCAATCGTTTATTTTATCTCAAAGCTCTTAATAACAGAGTGCATTCCTTAGCCCAACCTGCTGTTAACTTAGGTAAGTTAGTTTAGCTTAAGCGCGCAAGCTAGAAAGAACAAGCATTAACAGCCAAGTTGCGCCTGTTAAGCTGCTTGCGGTAACAACAACAGCTAACAGCTGTTAGCAGCAGTTAAAGGGCTCAGCTTCTGCTGCGCTTACATTTGTTTGTTTCGTTTAGTTAAGTGTAAAATTAAATTAATTTTTTATTGCCGCCCAATAAATGAATGCAATGCAATAGATGTGCCGCATTTCAATCTTAAATAGCCTTGTTTATAACCGCGTTTTGAACAAACGGAGGCCTACGCATCAATACTGTAAGGCAAGCTGATGGCGTGCGCAGGGGGGAGGGAGGAGGGGGGGGGGGCTGTTCAAGAAGCTGCTTGTCAACTGCTTTGTGCTGCGCTGCGGGCAAGCGCCTGGTCTGTCCTACACCCTGCCCTACATATGACGAGCTGTTCGCTCCTCTGCCCCGCTGGCCATTGGTCGCATTTGGAAATCTCGAAAACTTGTTTATACAACAAAATGTATAAACAAGTTTTTTCTCTGCCTCTGCCTCTCTGCTGCTGCTACTGCTGCTGCCGCTGTTGTTGTTGTTCTTGTTTCTGTTTTTTTTTTTTTCGGCTGCTGCCTTCCTTCTTTGCTTCGCTTGTGTTTGTCGTCAGTTTCGTAATTTATTCTAAAAGCGTTCCGTTTTGGGCTCGCTATATAGAGAGAAAATACATATTTATGTATGCACACATATACATATATATCCACATATGTGCCGATATGTATTTGAATACTCGCTTTTTATAAATATATACAGCTTTTTTTGTTTTGCGCTTTGAATTATTCAAAATAACACTTTTGGTCTATTTGCCAAGCGCGCGTTGCTGTTGTTAGTGTTGTTGTTGTTGTTGTTGTTGTACGCCTCAGCGCTTTTCAAGTGGGTGCAAAGCAACAGCAACAGCAACAACAACAACAACAATAACAATAAGAACTTTTGCACGATTTTCAGACCGCAACAAAAACAAAACAATAATAATAATGCATAACAATTCAATTTCCATTAAAATAAACGCATAATGCAAACCCACAAGAGAGGCGCGTGTATGTGTGCCTTGGAGGGAGAGGAGGGAGGGGGTAAGTCGCTTGCGCAATGGGTGTGGCCAGCAGCTGCTTAACATATGCATGCCGAAATTGTAATTGAAGCTTCGCTTCTGTCAAAGTTTGAGCGTCACTGCATAGAGTGGGCAGCAGCGAGCCTGTCAAACTGTGACACGTGCAGCCGGCCCCGGGAACAGCGAAAGACCAAAACAGAGAAACAGAAACTGAGCGACTACAGCTGTTGTTTGATTTAACCTTGAAAAACGACACACGCACACACACACGCACACACACACACACACACACACACAGATACAGATACGCGTGTCTCGTCTTGTATGAAAGTATTTGCTTTTTTTTGTTACATTTTTTTGTTTTTATATTTCAGCCGAGTCATCGCGAAAATAATCGAGTTAAGATATTCAAGCGACATCATTTGACTATACATATATCCACATATGACATTTAGGTTGATAATTCCGATCGCGAAATTTTAAGAACTTTTCTTATTCAGAGTTGATTCCAGATCGTAGAACATTATAATTCATGAAAACTGTATTTGTTTTACTAGTTAACATTACGTTATGGAATTATAATTTAATACAAATATAGTTCTTATATAGATCTGACAGCTGTTCCCATCTATTGGGTATTTCCAAAATATGCTAGTTATGCACGACATTTTTATTATTGAATAGTCCCTTTTCAGTTTGTTTTGTACATTGAACATTTGTAATATCTTTCGATTTAACTCGCGCTTTCTTTCCCTCTACTACTTTCTGTTGTTTATCACAGTTTCTGGCGGGGTTTCATTTCCTACATTTACTTCTACATTTCTTGATTCCTAACAAAATTCCCAGTCATACGATTTAGCTTATAAATGTCGTATTTCATGTTTACTTGAAATGTCCCATACTCTTGACAAGTTTGTATATAGAATTTAATGTAAATAAGAATCGGCTTTGAAAACCTTTTTGGTTGTTCAGGCGGGTTCCTAACTATCTAAGATATCATTCTAAAATACAAATATGTGGTATATAGAAATAACAGATATTTTCTTTATATGCCTATATATCACACAGAATTGAGTCACTTGCTAAGTTCAAAATAAGAATTATAGAAATAATCTATCTGAAAGATCTGAAAACAAAACTGAACAACAAATGAGCGACGTTTAAATAAATAAGTACGAAATGTTCTGGTTGGCATCAATTGACCCCCGCATGACATTACAGTAGGTAAAAAGTCTAAAATTCTATCAAATTATGCAAAGTTGGCATGAAGTGGGCGTGGTTGTAAAGGCACAGGGTGTGCGGGAAGAGGCATAAATCATACAAATGTAATGCAAGTCATAAATAAAAATCATCCCGAAATGAATGCAAGCGGAAAAACTAAAAATAAAGCGATCGGTTAAAAATGGAAATACAGAATACAAAAACAAAAATACACAAGTAAAGAAAAACAGGCAGGCAGAGAGGGCATACAGGGTGTCTCTGGCGAAGGAGTAGGCAAAACAGGTGTAGGCTAAAATCAAGCAGTGCACACACACACAAAGTTAACTGTGCCTTAAATACACCAACAAACCAAAAAATGTACCAATTGTCAGGCAAAAGGAAAAGGCAATTTCTCAGGCAAGTAACAACAAAAGGCGCAGTAATTTTGTTCGTATGTGCTCATGAATGACCCTATTTTGTTTTTCTGCTCCTCGCACGCTGCTTCACTATCGCATACATATCTATGCGACTGTGTGTGTGTGTGTCAAGAATAGGCAGAAAACAGCGGAGGAAGCGGCCGCAGCAGCGTTCGGGGCCGGCACACAAAGCATAAAGAACGATAATACATACACACACACACACACACGCACACGTGCACAGCATACATATGTAGTTGGGCCCTATGCTGCGTGGAAAATGGTTACGCTGCGCATAAAGCACAATGCGATAAAACGCTTAAAATTATTAAAATACACACATAGGCACATGCGTATGCATGTTTATGTTACATTTAAATAAATAAATGCTGTTACACTTACATGCTTGAAGAAATCCATAAAAATGCTGTGGTAGATAAAATCCCTTGGCAGGGTTTGCACAAATTTCTGCGAAAGCAGCGCTGGCAGCGCAGCCTCGCCGGCTCCTGCGCTGCTATTGTTGTTATTATGATTATTATTATTATTGCTGTTGGCATTGCCAGCCCCTCCGGAGCCTGCACCAGTGCTCAGGCTGCGCTGCAGCTGCGGCGAGGTGGCATTAAAATTCAAGCAATTGCACGAGATCATCATGATTAGTTTTGATTTTTGTTGTTGCTATTGTTGTTTAACGGTAACGTTAACTGCTTTTCAACTTAACAACTTCGAAATGAAAATTGCACGTTTGTATTTTGCGTGTGATATTATTTATTATCGTTTCTGGTTTTGCGCGTGACTTCCTAGTTCGTCCTCTTTTGCGTTTTGGCTGAAGCGGCGCGGGCGCGTACAAAATCACTAATAAAACACCCACAACTAGCTCAGTTCAGCATTTTAGCGTCCGTCCCGTTCAATGTTATATTTTCGAATGAAGTGTTCGATTATCGAATTGCCCGATACTTTGCAAAACGTTGTGCAGCCAACATCACGCTGCTAAACACTATGCTAACTGCCAGACCGGCAATTCCGGTATGTTAACTTGCTGTTGTGATAAATTAAACAGTTTTATGCTAATATAACGCGAATAGCTTTTATTATATTAATTTCGTCCTATTAAGTTAACTAAGTGTATTTTACACAGGGCAGTATTATTGTTATTTTGCATTTTACAAAGCTAGCAGCCAGCGCATTTATATTAACATAATATGTTAACGCATAGGTGCGCATGTTAATTCAATAACGCGAATTGGAGGCTGTTAACGCAGTGGTGCGCCTCTCAGCGCACTGTTTAAATATATCGATGTATTATGCTAGATTTACGGTTACACTGTTCTAAAATCAGCTGTTTTGGAAAATGGCGCAAATTTTTAAGGCTTTAATTAAGTTTTCGTGTTGTGTGAGTGTAAAATATGTTGTAAAAGTGTTAAATTCATTGAGTCCTTTATGTGCATTCTTAAGTGTGTATTCTATTTAAGCGTTTCGACAATAAGGTATGTTTAAATCTTGTACTAATCATATATATACAACGTGAACAAGCCCGACTGCAATCTGATTTGCGCCTGCTTTAAATGGTCTAGTTGGGATTTTTTGCTGTCTTAGCTCGGATATCTATATATGAAAAATGCATTTAATTCTCTTGCACTTGTTTTGCTGTGCATATTGCCAACTCTTTTCGCGTGGCGCTTGATTAAATTCAAAGCTCGCTTCGGTGGCTGCGGCAAAACATCAAAAATGCATGTAACCAGCAGAAAAAAAAATAAGAAGCAGAACAATGACAACAGCAACAAGCACGGGACAGAAATCATAAAGACCGACACGTGCCTAGGTTTGTTTGGAGGCAATGCTCATAGTCCAGTTACCTGCCTTTATAATACTCTGTGCCCATTGAAGGCGCCTCAAACGGGCATATTCGCGTTGGGCCTTTGTGTGTTAGAGGCGAACCCATATGATATATATATATATATATATTTTCATAATCAACTGCAACAAAAGGGGCGAGCTATTCATGCCCACCTGTCTGTCCGTCCGTCCGTACATATGTCCATCCGTCTGTAGGGACGTGCTGTTCTTAGCCACTTTAAGGCTAGAGGCATTTAGAAATAAGATTGGCGAACAAGCTTCAGGAGATATTCCCCATAAATATCGATTTTCAGCCTTTCTTTAAGCACATAAGTATTATTTATATATTCAATTAAATATTAAATTTATTGATTATTTTATTGTATTACACACTGGGACTGTGTTAAATATTAATTTTTAGCTTATTTTTTTATAATTCCTCTTATCTCAGATAAATTTTGTTCATGTTTTTGCCCCAAAACCGATAAATATCGATTTTCTGCTATAGAGTAAAAATTAAGTATTAAGATTCGCCCGACGCAAACATAGATCAAGATTATAGATCATAGACCCCAGTTCCCTTATTGAATACCCGCTTTTTGGACAAATTCCTCAAAATTAATAATATTTAAAAATATTATTTAGCGTTGAACAGGGTGACTCGACAAGGTCTAGCCGCTGCCGCTACGTACAGGGTGTCTTCCCGTCGCGCAGCATTGCTAACCAAGCTTCACTCTTCACTCAATTTTTTTTGTCGCTGTTTCCTCTGTTTCATAAATAATGCGTCCCATTTTTTGGCACCTGGACCGCGGGGGCAGCTACCAGTTGAGGGCGCGTGCAGCAATTTGACGGCTGTGGAGCATCAGCCTAATGAAAGTGTCGGCTGGCTGGTTCCTAATATGTGTGTGTGCGTGTGTGTGTTGTATATAGTTTGTAACTAGCGACAACTTCTTTGGCCTGTAATTGAAATTGCGCGGCGTGCGCGGCATTAAGTCATAAAAACAACAACAACAACAACAGCAATAACCACTTGAACCAGTTTGTCACACTCTGAGGCCAGGCACGTACGCGCCAAGAGGTCAAAACGCACTTGGCTCTTGGATCTGGACACAGCGCCAGGGCCACTAAAAGACCCAAGCAAAATTGTGAAATTTCTCTCCCCCCCTCATTCCAGCCAACTGTAAGATTGTGCGTATGTGTGTGTTTGGGTCATTAAAGGCGAGCGTAGAACAAGTTACCACAAAATTCTGGCTCAAAATTTAATGAAGGTCTTCAGTTCTGCCGAATCGTTTATCCGGCAGCCACTGTCCCAGCTCTGGTCATCATTCGTGTAAGTTCCAGCTTATGTAATACCCAAATGCCACCGATCCATATAGCGTCCATTGACTCGAACTCCCAGCTTCTGGTCAAGTGTCAGCCGAGCCCTGCAGCAATGCTGAGAATCAGCCTGAGCAATTCTGCAGATACTTTTAAAGCCTGAGTTTGCGATTACCAAAGGCTGTGGCTGATTTAAAGAGGACGGCAAGTAAGCTGCTGAGTTTTCGAAACATGAAAAAATATTAACTAATGCAGCCTCATAAAATGAATGAAAATGAAGCAAGCTGGTTCAAACCTGGTATTCCCAAAGTTTTTGTAACTATTCATGAGGGTCATAGAAATGCTAATGTGGCAATGGAGAAGTTTAGGAACCATCCAATAATATTAACTGATGCAGCCCCATATAAAGCGACGACATCGGGTTTGAACCAAGCCGGTTCGAACCAGATATTGTGAAATATTTTTAGCTATGCGTAACTGTCATATAAATTCACATGCTCCTAAATGACAATTGAAAAGATAAGGAACTATTAAATAATATAAACTAATGCAGGCGAATACAAGGCGAATAAAGGCAGGTTTGAATCAAGCTGGTTCGAAACTAATTCTCGAACTCAATTTCCTATGACTATCAATAAAAGTCATATGAACTGAGTTGCTTTAAACGGAGTTGCTTTAGGAGTCAAGGAATAATATAAACTAATGCAGCCCAATAATTGGCGAAAAAGGTGGGTTTGAGCCAAGCTGGTTCGAACTTGCCATTGCATAAAAGTCCTATAAATTCATATGCTCCAATTTTAAGTGTCAATGAAAGATCTAACAGCAGAAAATAAATGAAGTACAATCGATTGGAATACTCGAGGATGTATTGGAGGATACGGGTAGGAAAAACAGGCGAAGTAATGTTAAAAAATTGTAGCTGTAAATTTGTTAAAAATAATCATAATCAATGCATTTTCGAGATGTTTAGGTAAAACACACGAGTCCGCCTCTTGATAAACCATACATTGACTTCTGCACCGCCTACAAAAGCTTTTGGGTACTCAGTTAAGTTTGTTTTTTTTTTTCACTCAGTCCAATAAGATGTGCACATCCTTTCCCAGCGATCTTGAGCTCTTGCTCTTACTCTCTTGAAATTTGATCTTTTCGCTGTGATAAGGAATTGAGAATAAGGCGCAGAGCCAGCCAGGGACAAGGAAATGCTTTTGCTTGAAACGCTGTGGCTCCCTATTGTCTTTAAGGACCTTTTATGTAGCCTTGGGGTCTTATCAAGGCGACCAAACTTGGGACTCTGTCTCTGTCGTCTCTAGCTGGTAATACAATACTTTTGGGCTGCAGCTCCTTTTTAATTTTTCGCGAGAATTAAAGGCGGAGGTGCCTTGGTGCCTTGTATTGCCTTGGTCCTGGCTCCGTTTGGCTTGTTCAAACCGTGATCCTCGCGCTATCCTGGCTGCTATTATTGTGTCAGCAACTTTATAAATTGCGCACAAAAACAAACCGCCCGCAAATGCCAACCCCGAATTAAAAAAAAAAAAACAATACAAATAAAAATAAAACCAAACGCGCTGGAAATTCGTGTTCTGTGTGCTGCGTCCTGAGTCCTTTATTGTTGTTTCGCTGCTGCGTTTGGTGCTGCATGTCCTGAATGGCAATCAATCAATTGCGCGATACTTCACCATATCGATATCGATTTACATAACGCACTCGCGGCACGTTCGAATCCAAGGGAATTCCATTGATCGCAAGCGGAGGGAGAGTAGGAGAAAAGGAGCCAAGGGATCGGAGCGTGTGTTATGGATATGTTTGAGATCGTGTGCAGATTAATTGCTGTGGTAATATAATAATAATTCTTAATTGATGTAAATATTATTATTGCCTTGAGACATGATTCTCAAATGGGAAATGATTTTGTGGGAGGGCAGTGAAACGGCATGTTCAGATATTCAGGAAAGAAATCTCTGTAACTCGGGCAAAATAAATTGTCCAATAAATAGTCCTTTTGCTAGTACTCTATGGTCGCTTTGCCTAAAGTAAATAGGATATAAGAATGTGTAGATTGTGTAGAGATGTAGATTGTCAAAGGTCACTTTATCGGCGACTCTTTTTGATTTATTATTCAATATAATAAATAACCTAAACTAGTTCATTGTCTTATATTTCATTTTTATGTCATAACCTGCTTTATTATTAGAAAAATTAGTAAAGCACCTCCCTGGTCAGTTAACTCCGAGTGATAAAACATTATTATGAGCTGGTAAGAGTGCAAGCTATTCGAATTTAAAAACTGATCTTTGCTCGGTTAAAATTGAATAGGTCCCTCAGATCCATGGTTACTTTATCAGACACTTCATCTTTTTCTTTAGATTGTAATGGAAACAATTAAGGGAATAGGAGATACACTGAACCTTCTTGTAGGTTTTAGAAACTTAGGTTTTAGAAACTTGATTTGTATATACTATTCCAGAAGCTAGCTGTCAAATTTGGTGACTGGCTCTTAAAATTTTAGAGATATGCTTAAAAAATAGGATTTCAATATAGATTTTAATCGATTGCTTGGAATCGAGTCAAGTTATCGGTTATCGGCAACGAACTCGTGCTGCGCGGGGGCAAGGACGATCTATGTTCAAAATTTCTCCTGCTGTTCTACGCACATACATACATACGGACAATCGGACAGACGGAAGGACGAATCGATCGTCTCGGCTCTTGATGCTGATCTAGAATATATATACTTTATGGGGTCAGAGAT